GAAGTATCTGGCAACAGGAAAAGCTAAAAAAAAAAAATTAGCAAATGTATTTCTCCTATATAGCATTTTTCTAAATTCAAGCATCACTTTATATTGTTTCAGACTCTTTGTTGGCTGCAATAACTTGTAACATTCCAAAATTTCCATAGATAAGACACTCGATCCTGATGTGTCAGTTTTGATACGGGCCACGCATCTATTCACCGACCAGACAGCCTGCCTCAGCATCTGAGCCAGCCTCACAATAACTATGATGAATGCAGTGTCCACAGGGACAAACCAGCCGTTTGACACTCCATCCCCCTTGATGCATGAGCTGCTAATATTGCGCAGATTTGGGCTGCTTGAAGCCTTGTGATTCGCTGTGAATAGCCTTCGTTGAACTCTCCCCTCTGCATAGGTGACCGCAATCATCTTACAAATGGCAACAACTTACTTCAGATGCATTTGTTAGCAGGATCAGGCACATATGGAGCATCTGAGTTGATTAGCGAAAGTGACTTAAAAGATCCTCAAATCTTACTGATGGTCAAAGTAAACTGGGTCATGATTGTGTTTCTCCATCTATAACTTTGAGTTCAAAATGTCTCATCTGGGCTGGAAAATTGTATTTAAGACACACTTGATGTGCATGAGTGCAGAGAAGGGTCAGTGCCGATTAATAAAGTGAAGATGTGGCTGGACTTGTGGGTTGGTGTGGGTGGAAAGGAGGGTGAGATAGAAGCCATGCCATGAAATGAAAGGGATCACACACACACACATACACAGAAATATATGGAAATATCGTTTGAGAGGGGCATTAGCAGTTCAAGGGAGGAAAAGCAAGAGAGACAGGGAGGAAGACTTTCTGATCTTTAGCAGCTGCCAGATGGGATGAGGATGAGCTACAAATAAAATATAGCAGGGTGGAAAGAGAGATTTTGAGTTCCTTCAAATAAACTTTTTGTTTCATTTTATTTTTTAAGATGAATAAAATGCCAGTTTTAACTTTAAAAAACTTTCAATCATTTACAGGGGTTAGATCTTTCAGCTCAGAGCAGACAGTCTTGTTTGTTCATTTAAACACAAAGGGACAATCTGTAGGCTAATGTATAAGCTATATGACTGACCCATTGTAGTTTAGCTAATGTATGCTAACAACTGATGTGCATAAGCCTACCTTTGACATGTCTCATTTTCACAATAATTACGCCTACTGATCTAGTTTCCTCATGTGGGTGCTTCTCTTGGTCCCCAGGGCGCTTCCAGGTATCCTCAGCCGACACAGTTGCTGCTCTCGCCGGTCAAGACTCTGCCGACTTGCAACTCGGACGTCCAGTAACCTAATGCATAGTTTCTGATCATTCAACCGAAACAGTCTTTAATGTTCTGAAAAAAACGCGGATAAACCGTCTCTCCATTATTTATGATACACCTGCTGTAGGTTAGAAAATTAGACTATGGTTATATTAACATTGACATGTCAAACAAACAGATTAGCACACAAAAGTCTACAAGTCGCCAAACAAGTCTTCGTTCCCATGGTAACGATTCAAAAGCCTCAGCCCGCAAGTGAAACTTTCACTAGAAAGCTGCATGGGCTACCTATTATCTACCTTAAGAGGCCACTTTTACCCCGATTATTATATTTGGGGTATTATTAAGATGTAGCCTTAGGCTAGTAATTGGCTGAAATTTTATAATGATGTTAATTAGGTTAATAAAATAAAACATACAGCTTGTCTGTGGTTTTTGCACTACAGAGCCAATTGTGCCTATTGTGAAAACACCCACTTATAAAACAGTTGGTTAAAAGGCTCATTCATGTGATAGCCTAATGTTACATAAATACAACAGGCTATTCATATTACAAACTAATCAAAGGTTGTAAAGTTTTATCTGTTTTATTAGATCTCTATTAAATGGTCAAAGTAGCCATTCACAACAGTTTTGCTTGATATTTGTCTTTTTAGCTTTTTATGATTACGCACATATGCTATAGGATATAGCCTAATTATTTCTTCTAGTAAAGCCATAGACTGTAGGCTACATTTTATTGGACGACGAAGCCTGAGTGATGTCACCCATCTGTGGGGGCTTTGGAAGCCTGTCGGTTTTGATAGTGTAGCCTAATGGATTTTTCCCTGAGATTTAGAGTTAGAGGTAGATGGTGAAATAACACACAAGATAAAAACAATGAATCATTCTAAAAAATTACTATGCAACTCAAAAGAGTGTCATTGGGCTACATCCTATAAGCAACAACTTTGATAACCCATTAGCTACAACAAGATCACATTGTATTGGCTAAGGATTCACGACTTTCCAACTGTGTTGTAATAAACTTTATATTAGATTATAGCCAATTATTATAGGCCAGTGAATGTAATAGCAATAGGTAGCTGAATGCTTGTGTTTGCTTTTGTCTGACCATACTAATGTGTTATTAAGTACAGTGTGTGGTTTAGCTGAGAAATGTGACCAGATTTATCCATGGATTTTCACAGTTCATTGTCTTGATGATAATGAATTGTCAGGTAGGCTACTCTTACAGCAGTACCACATCAAACAGTATGACTGCTCCCCACCTGTGACGTTTGAGGAATATATGATAATAGGAAATGCACAGGTGAAACTGACATGAAAAATGACTCTGTTAATGTGTTCCAGTAAGCTTTGACAGTGTGACAGTGACATTAATGCACATAATCAAGACCCTCAAACTAAAACAGCGAGTCATCTATTGATTGATTCAGCAATCATTCACTTTTTTAGTTATTGTATTTTTCCTCTCATTGTGACTGACACAGCAATGAACGCCTCGGCAGCATTAACTTGTTTTTATCACAGATTTATATCAATTAGCACCGAGTTTATGATGTCATGAAACAGGTGAAACCATCAAGCCAATCTAAATATTATGACTTTATTGACATTGGCAGAAGTGAGACAATGCTTTTGTGATAGGTTTAGCCAAAATCCACACAAAAAGAGATAATGAATCAAATCAATAATAATTTCCCTACAGTCCACATCTATTGTTTAATGCTCCATCTCTTCAGAATCATTACAGTCTATGCAACTCTCAAACTGTGAATTGTGAAAATGAATGTGTTCAATTAACATTTCTTCTCCACACACAAAGGGAAGGATTTCAAAAAAAGGAGTAGAAAACTATTCTGTTTTGGACTTCATCCTGCAACCAGAAAAGAAGTAATCTCTGATTAGGAAATCTTTGCTACATAACCAAACATTGTTAATAGAACTGCATTTGTAATACAGATGTTTAGTTTAACATGTCTTAATGTTTGAGTTACTTAAAGGAGTAATCAGCAGTCATTTGACTTGGCTCCATTTTTTCTTTCTTTTATTATTTCATTGAAGCTTTTCTTTCCGTGTTCACTTTTATCATTTCAGATGGTTAAATATCTTTGTGCAGCAAGAAAATCTAATCTTATTTGGATGCACTGGGAAAAATGAATATGGCATTTTTGTTCTTGCAATATCTTTGGTATTTCTAAAAGCCAAATTAGTATAGTGCCTACCTATGGTCATATACTATTTCCGAGGGCTGTACTTAATAGGGGACAGACCATAATACCTCTGGATAAGACAACAATCATAGCAACAAAACAAAGCTGTGAGGCTTCCAATTCATAAGGCCTTTGGTTCCGAATAAAACACAAATGTATACAATGAGATGAATAAGTGGCCAACTACTTGTGCTTAATTGGACTACTGTCCAGTTTATTCAAGACTGAATCAGAGGTTTTCACATGAGCAGCAGCCATCTTTGTTTTTTTACAGAATGCTAACTAAACGGCTCATTGAACTCGTATAAAACATGAGCAAATATGTCTTCTTTCCCAGCAAGGTTAGGTATTTGAGGAAAATTTTATTTATATTAATCTGTCAATGTTTCGCAATAATCGCCATCAAAAAAGGAAATAAGTTTCATATTGATGACTGATTTATTTCAAACTTTCCTTTTGAAGCAGCTCCTGCTGAACAACATGAACATGATACACCATGGACAAACTTGACTTTCTTGTTAACCTGATGGATGGTTTAAACAGAAGAACCAACTAATCTTTGGGGCAACTAAAGCAGTAGCAAAGAATTGAACCTCTCACAGCACTAACAGAATCCGTGGCTGAGGATTGACACAACGCGTCAGAAACATTGGTTCAATCTGTGTTGTGCTCCAATGGACAGTACACCAAAATCTCAGGGCACACGGCTCTAAAAATGAAAGTCTGTCACACTTGATAAAGGAGGGAACAATAATAATCCTGTTGAAACTGCACAGCGAACAAAAAATGGAGTGGAAGAGAGCTTTGCACACTCAGTACACACACACATACCACTGACACTCTCAGATAACACAAACAAAAAAAAAACCCATTCTGGGTCCTTCTCAGCATGTAGTAGAACTATTTCATGCTCCAGACAAACAGCTTCTACTGTGTGTCCTTTGAGGGGTGAAACACAGAAGGGAAGGGACATCATCACTGACTCATGACAAGACTGAGGAGTCGAGTCACTGCTGACAGAATACAGTTCACTGGGATGTGAGAGGAACCGTCTTCAGGGAAAAGATGCAACAGTTCACAGACATAAAAAGCTTCGACCAACTGCTTGCCATTTTGCAATTGTGAGCTAAAAAGTTATAAATACAACTAATTAGTCTGGTAACTATTTCAGGCCAGCAAGAGGTAAAGTCCTCCCATCCACACCCATCAACCCATGCTCACACACCCTTCTCATCGACATGAGTGTGTAAGTGCTAAACAGACAGCAGCAGTATATAAAGCCCCTTAGAGAACTCTCTGTCTCATCATTCTTAGCTTTGGGGTATAACACTCATCCCTCACTCATGCTGAGGTTTTAATTGAAGAAATTTAAGTGAGTAAACCTTAAATAGTCCAGAAGTCATTTGCTTACTATCGTCATAAAAGAGCTGCCATTTTTCAAATGACTCAATAGGTTTTTTTCCCCTGTATTTTTTTTTTTCTAGAAAAATGAGTGGGCAGGAAAAGACGGAGCAGTCATGTGGGCAGTACGGCAGGGACGCCCCCTGGTACCCCATGAGAAAATGGTGGCAGTCCAGCCGTCTTTTCAGTCAGGATGTTGGCCTGCCTCCTTTCCTGGAGCCTCGAGACCCTAAGTGGGTGGATGTGGAGCTGCTCCAGAGGAGTTTGGCAGCCTCTTCCTGGCCAGGGTACATACCCGCTCCCCTGTTTGTGCCCTACATCTCTGCTGCGATGCATCATCCCAGGCAGATGAGTAAGGAGCAGTACAAGTGGCAGGTCAGCCTGGACGTGGCTCACTTCTCCCCCTCTGAGATTAGTCTCAGCGTCAGTGACGGATTCCTGGAGGTCGGAGGTACAGAACACTAATTTGCTCATGGCTATGTTAATTAAACAGTTAGTTAAAGTTCACTTTATTAAGACTGCTAATTACTTTTATACACAAGATAGTTTCTTCTTGCATTGAAGTATTAATAATCTGGTTTATCTAATATTTTTATCCCAAAGAGTAACACAGTTATCTAAATAGACTTCTACCACAGTTCAGAGAATAAATCCCTTGAAACTAAACGAGGACGGCGAGGAAGCTGAATGTAACAAAATTAGAACGCTGCTTAAATAATGTGCCCTGGGAAATCACTGCTCTGTGGCAGAAATTAATTTCTGCGTTGAGTGGTTTTCACTGTGTTTCCTGATTCCTCTGTGTGTCCTCACATTCCTCCCCATAAACGGTAATCCATCCCCAGGGAAACATGAGGAGAGGCCAGATGAGCATGGATTTATTGCCAGATGTTTTACAAGGAAATACAGGTATGCAAAGTAAACACTGATCTAAATACAGACAAAGAAATATATCCACTTTTTGAGCCTTTACAAACACCAGTCAGCATTGGAGAATGTAGCACTAAAGGTAAGTCCTTTTAACAGTTTCCAGTCTGTAATGTGCTCACTGAGCTGAAAAATTAGATATCATGTACATCAGTGTCAGTATTTGAAAACACGGCCACTTTGCATGTAAAGACATGGTGAACAGAGTTCTGTCTTTTTCAGGCTCCCGGCTGAGATTGATGTTTCCAAAATTGCATCCACACTTTCTGTTGATGGTATCCTGACTGTGGAAGCTCCAGTTCCTGAAACCTCTGTTCCTGCAGTCATCATTATACCCATAAAGGTGAGTAAATCTGGAAAATACATTTTTAAAGGAATATGTAGACACTTTCATGAATATCTTCACTTGCTTTCTTTAAGAGTTGAATGAATGTAAATGTTGATCTATCTAAATCAGCATAGCTTAGCATAAAGAATGGCGACATATTGAAACAGCCTGCCTTAATCTCTTCAAAGGAACATCTGCTCTATAGGACCACTAGACCTTATTAACACCTCATATTTAGGGAATATCTAAGAAAAAATTGCCATATCTGAACTGACATCATCCATTCGTTGTGGGACCTTATTTTTTTTAAACAGACCTCATGCTGCATTAACTTGACTTGAAACTTGTAATTAATGTAATAAACTCACCTTAAATTGTATAAATCATATGGTTTCTCTAAATATTTCCGTGTAGTTGCTCCCTACAGGCCTATTGAAATAATGCAAATGTAAGACCCTTCTGTATAATCTTTTTTTTTTTTTTTAAACTAAAGTCTTCATCCACTTCATTCATACAGGGTATGATAAAATTTGTATTTATTGAACCCCAACAGAAAGAGTGTAATAACAACAAGTTACAGGGTTATTTGCCAGACTATTTATTGGCTTCTCTTCAACAACATGTGAAACCCTTTTTGAATGTGTTGGGTTTAATTAGTGTGCTATAAAGGTGTTTTTTTTTACTATCTTCAACGAGCCACACTAGTGGCCTCCACTTTTTTCCCGTCTTTAGCTAAGCTAAACATTCTGAAGTACTTATCAGACAGACATGTGAATGGTATTCATCATTTAATTCACCAAAACAAGTAAACACATTTTCCAAAATACCAAACCCTTTAATTTAAAGGATTTTGCAGTGGACAATATCTCCTGATTGTTGCCAGTTTCAATATCCTACCAATGAAAGGACAGCCATGCAATTTCAGTAATTAGGTGGGGCATGAAAGGGGAGGTAGCTAACCTTTAATTAGAAATAATAATTTATTACATTGATGACATTTTCTACACATTAATGCTCTATTACAGGTAGAGATGGAGGCAGCTGGAGAAATAAAGGAGCAATATGAAGCTCCTGATACAAACCCAGATAACAGCAGAGCACCAGAGGACCCAGACAGTACGTGTGCAGAGGATTGTGGGGATGAGTCTCCAGTAGAGGTCCGTGGTGATCAGGCACACCCAGACAGCTCTGCTGCTGGATTTCAACAGCACGAAGAGAGGAAGGAACAAGAGAAGGAGACCCATGAAAAGCCACCTGGAATATCCAACCCTTCAGAAGCTGCAACTGGCGAAAGCACAGAGAGTGTTCCAGATTCTTTAAAGCACCATGAAGACCCTGAAAGCCAAGAGCACCCAGACAAAGACCTGTCCAAACAGCAAGAACACAAAGAGCCAGACCTGGATGAAGAGATCCAGGTAATGGCAGGCACAGAGGAGGCTGCTGTGGAAATGATTCATCCCGAGGAACCAGAGCTGGGCAAGGGTCCACCGAGCAAGGTCCTGAGCCAACAGCTGGAGGCTCCTGACATAAAACAAGAACACACTAAGTAGAAATGTGAAAATCTTAAACAAATTCAAATCTCATACTGATAAATAGTTGCATGGCCTGCTTAGTTACCTTGTGGTATTTCTACAAATGCATTAAGTGGATGGAATTAAAAATCATATAATCATGCTGTCTTTGGAGCTCCAATAAAGCAAAAAGCAAATGAAAATGGTAAATATTGTGTCGGTGAGACTCATCATTTCCTCATGCTTTTACCTCCTCTCTTACAATGTATTGTGGTTGCAACTGTTGTAATGAATAAGCAATCACATTCAGGAACACCCTATTTATAATTACCTCTGAAAATATGAGAGCAAAATTTAAAAAAAGAGATTAATTTCCCTGCTGTTTCAGCTAAGAGGTTTTGACATTAATCAGATACTATACGTTTGCACAGCTGTGCATTAGTCACTTCTACATTAGCAACTTGCCCAAGGAGAAACTGGCCTGATTCCAATGATGCTGTTGCCATGGCAGCACAAGTCCACACTTTCCGTCTAATACCAATAAATACAACATTTTATAATAGCGAGAATATCACACAATGCGGTGCCTTTGCAAAGCCAAGAACTGTGGAAGCCCTTTGTCGTTTTCATCGAGCAACTCCAGTTTGGAAACTTAAATTCAAACTGATCATCCCTTTTGATTCCAATACACAGAGATTATTTTGCATCACATGACATGCAATGGAACCACCCCAATTTTTGCACTTGTAAACAAAAGGTCTGGCAGTGTTGCCTTCCTGTGGTCCAATCTCACCCAGCACTAAACCCTCTGTTAATCTGCTGCCCAATTCATACTGTTACCCAACAATAACACTACAGGATCCCTGGAACCAGGCCTTTGAGTGGCAAGGTTCTCAATGAAAAGACACAGATGTTAAGACACACTGCAAGATTGGCTGGACAGTTTTATTGCATCAGCCGATACAAAGACATCAGCAGAAGAGGAGGGAAGGGAATTAACGTCTTTGGCATAAAAATCAGTCTGTCCTCTCCAACAGTCATGCAGCTGTCCTTCTGAATGCTCAAATAGAAAAGAAAATTCAAACCCTATTTCAAAACCATGAACACTTCAGAATAATATTCATAATGATTTGTCACATATTACAGTATATTTACAATTGACATGGTAGATAACATATTAATGCACACAATTCACCCCTTAATGAAGACACAAAAGACTTTTGTTTCTTGTCAGTTTAAAGCAACCATATGTAACCTTTCCACTTTTAAATAGAAGTTTCACATGTCTATTCAATTGCACAATAACTTTCAACAGGGCCCACTGTGCTGCCTGATCGCTTGTTTTCTGCAGTGTGCAAATTTTGCAGCGTGCTGAGGTCATCTTGCGAGAATTGCATAGGGCCTTGGCACAAGTTCATGCACAAGTTATGTCTCAGGTTTGCAAACAAATAAATAAATAAATCCATCTTACGGCAAACAGTTGTCACTTTAGCTTTAAAGTTTGGGGCCTTACAAACTAATTACCCTCTCCAATGTAGCCTTTAAGCTACGGCCTTTAGATATCATGACAACACAATGCTCCACCTGCAAACAGTCCGCAAACAACCGGCTGAAAATGCTTGCAGAGTCATAGTTGGGCAAAAAACCATTGACTTCACTGTGCCTTGTCAGTCAGCATGGTTCTCTTCCATAGCTTCAAACAACATGTTTGCTTATGACAGTGCAGTTGCTCTCAGAGACTTTCAGTGGGCCCTAAAGCACTCCAAACCAAATTCCTACATGTAGTTGCTTTAAGTGACATTCATTAACTTCGAAGAGCAACAACTGTGACACAAGAGGTCAAGGCACTCAAGTCAAATAAGGCACATTATGATTATTATTAAAAAAAAAAAAAAAATCAAATACAATATGCTTGACATAAATACTGTTCCACTGGATCCATTGCATATTATTAGGAAACAGGTTTACAATTTTTAAAAATTGTATTAAAATTGAAATTAAAACAGTAACTCAGTATGTATCTGTACTGCTGTTCTGAAGATACTCTCAATTCTTTAATGACTCACCTAGTAGTAGTGGAACAATCAATATGAAATTATACATAGTGATTTAAAGATCAACAATGAAATAGAATAAATAGAATTTCAAACACTCGTCATTACACTATTCAAATTTCACATTACACTAGTCAAATGTTTAAGTTATATTAACTGACAAATCAGCTGCCTGGTATATTGTCTAATTACTTCCTCTTTTTTTTTTTAAATCTGTTTGTATAGTTTTTAATGAACATATCCAGAAGAGTTCTGCAATAAAATACTTTATAAAATGTCATCTCATACCTTTTGAAGGGCTCTGAATTAAATCTAATCAGGATAAAGCAGTTTTCATCATGCAGGCGGGATTTTATATTTAATTTAATCCAATGTGTAACTGAAATTTAAGGGTACAAACATGGGATACCAGCTGGTCTGTAATCATTGTTATAGAGGTCAACATGGAGACAAGGGAGAAAAATAAACATCTTAAGTTTTTGCCTCTTGTCTCACCTGTGTCTCTTAATTATCTGCTTTTATACAAAAACATTTCGCCTTTCCAACTTTGAAAATCATATCACAAAGGGGCGTTTTTTTGCACATTTTACACTTTAGCATTCCAGGTGTCAAACACTATAAAGCAGAAGGCCAAACATTTCATGTTTTGTTGTGTGTGAATGCTTTTCGGGGGTTTTAGACTACAGGTCCCTCCTGGGGCTTTGGCGCCTCCACCTCAAGCGATTCAGCCCCCTGCGAGCCCTCATTGCTGAAGAGGGAATACGGAGGCGTCTGCCGGGCTTCGATGATGAGGACTCCCTCAGGGGACAGGGAGGCAAAAACGGTGAGCGGGTCCACATCTATCGGAATCCTGACAGAAGAAAAGTGAGAGGGAAAAAGTTGGTTTGAGTGTGTTTTTTATAATTCTCAGATTGAAGTTTAGATGTTAAGAGTAGCAGAAGTTTACTTTCCCGGTGTGTGTTGTACATAAATTTAAAAGTGTGAGTGGGAGGAATGAAATAAGGAAGAGAAACAGCCCACAGAAACAGTTCAGTTCCTGCTTAGAGGTCATGCAAAACTCTATGACATTTTCCACCATAAGAGCTGCTCCGCGAACATTGTTAAGTGCTCTGATTCTTCACCGACACTTTGTCAATACCCATAAACAGCCTGCAGTCAGATAATTCTAGCGCTGTATATCCACAGGAGGGGAAAAAAGAACTTGGCTCTGGATTTAGACTGTTATTAAAAAAAGCTCACCGTCTTCTCCTCGGCTAGCACTCCTTCCAATCTAACAAAAAAAACCACCTCACACCATGGGAGATGAACTAAAAGCCATAAGGAGTTTTCATGTGAAAGCCTTCAGCACTGCAACAGAGGGAGGGGGAGAGGATCCAGGTGCGAGGTTGCAAAAAACACAGAAAAAAAAAAGGAGCTTCAAGTTAAAGAGTGTTGTCTGCATAGATTGAACACTTGTTAATTTATAGTTGCATACTTTCCAAACCTGGAAAGTATGACTAAGCTTAATTTATCACTGGATTTTTTATTTTTATTTTTTTTTTTTAACTCTGCTTAGTTTTTGACACTCATCAGGCTAAACTTGTTTAAACAGCTTTGCTAACTATGTCAAGTATTTTTGAAGGAAAAGTAGAGTAACTGTTGACCAAAACCTGAAAGAAATAAAAAGTGTTAATGGAGAAAACCAGCCAGTGATTAATTACGTAAGTCTTCATTTCTGTTAAACCATGAATACAATTTAGGGCACATGGTTCATGATCTTAAATGATTAAACTGGTTGTTATTTGATTATAAAAGTAAAGTCAACTTTAGCTTCTCCCTCTGGAATGAAAGTCCTTTAAAAGCAGCAGTAGAGGCAGCGCAGAGATCAAGGCTGTTCTTTGTCCGACAGCGTGGCCAAATATGGGTATTGTAGGTTTTCTGTGTGAGCAGCCAAGTGTCTCTGGGATATAATATAAACATCAGGCTGCCCTGTTCAGAGGAGCAGACAGGGCTTTACCCTCCATTTAATTAGAGAGGACCCTCGACTACATGGCTTCCCACTCCACTGAGAAATACAAGTCAGAAGCGACTAAACATTTTGCCTCATAGAATATCAGACGGACTGAGAGGTTATGTCAGGTCTATTTTGGAAGACAAATATCACATCACCGTGTCTCAATGAGCTATACAAGAACACTTTCACAACAACCTCCTCAAGACCCAACCCAAGTTAAGAAATAGTTAAAAAATATGGAAGTAGGTGGGAAAAGAGTTTAACAGAAGAAGGTTGTATTAATAACAGAAACACTGAGTCTGACAATAGGACCAAAGTAAATGGACAAAGTCAGTGCATTACGTCAAAACATTGTAGGAAGTGGTTCTCTGTAACGTTACTCTCATCCTTTCAAGGCTATTAATGCCTAAAGGAAATATTATGGGAAACAAATGCAATAGTTGTTTCAGTCAAAACCAAAAAACACATTCTCATCTAAAGTTAGTGATCTTCTAAAAGAAGGGCATCCAGTTTAAAAAAGAGGGGTCTGCTTAAGAGAAAAACTTCCCAAGTGAAGTTGTGGATTATCATAATGTATAACTTGCAATATGATTCAATCAGTACAACATTATAGCATATCATCCATAAGTATGACATCAGAGGAAAATAGCTGCCATGTGATTATGATTAAGGGAGCCATGAAGATACTAAATAAAGGAAAAAGCTATTTTAAATATCTGATTTTAGAGTTAGAAATTATAAATGTAAAAATATATTTTTTATTTCCAGATCTTGTCACACATACACAGGGCTAATAATGTTTCAGTAGACCCCCAACTTCTCTCAAACAGCCAATAGCTGTAAAGAAAAGTTGCTCTGCCTGACAAAGTCAAATCTTTTAGCTTGCTCATTGAGCGTGACTCCATCAGAAACCTGATCTGTCCGGCTCTTGAGTTTATTTACAGTACCTCTAGCAAACACATTTTTTCATCTTACGCATTGATTTTGTACACCTGCCAAAAAGCAGTCCGACCCCCCGACCCCCCGATCTGCTGAGGCAGAGAGAGTGAAAGCGCTGAGAACGAAGAATGCTACAATTCTACAATTAATTTAGCAGACGCATTTCTCCAAAGCGATGAACATCAGAACAAGAAAATGAGAGTGTGTCCACTGAGTGTGTGTGGTGTGTAAAACAAGTGTGTAACCATTAACCAATGAACCCCTCCTCCCCACACCCCAGACACAGAGCACACGTGGCCTGAGTCAGTCCAGTAGTATCATGTGTCTCATCAGGATAGAAACAGAGGCAGAACAAGAGATACATAAATAACAAACCACTCACACTTCAGACTGTCACATGTTAGCAGGTGGGAGTTCTTGTGTTGCTGCTGCTTATCTTTGTTCTCAGAACTGATGTAACAACACCAGACAAGGTTGATAACAGAAATCTCTCACTTGTTTAAAAAGAAAAATCCAACCTTGGATCCTTTTGTACTTGTTTAACATCAGTATTTTTTGTCTTTAATTAGATTCTATCTCCCCAGCCTATAGGGAATCAACATGCATTGACTCAAAGATGATATATACAGGAGTCGCAAGTTACATTTATCAAACATCAAGTTATCCTGGTATTTCTGAATAAACTTTTACATTCATACACTCTGACAGATTTTTTAAAGCAGAAAAAAACTATGTTTATATAGTCATAAATGCATGTACAGTTAAAGTCCTATCATAACCAGCTGTAAAATCTGTAGATTTATGGGAAAAAAATCACAGTATTTCACAGTAATTATAATATTTCACGCAAAACCATTCCTCAAAATGAAGACTTAAGGATAAATTGATTATTTAATGTAAATCAGAACATATGGATCTTCAGATTGCCTTTTTGTCTTGCGTCCTAATCCCCTAAATATTCAGTTAAATGTTAAATAAGTAAAAAAATAAAAAAATAAAAAAATAAAAAGAGACACTCACTCAAATGTTGAGTGATAAGGTTCAAATTCTTTTCAAGAACGTTTGGCTATATATATATGAGATATTGGATTATTTAAGCTTGATGGGCCTCAAATGCTTATTTCAATGTTACCAAGTTGTTTAAATCAATTAGCACACCTTTTTTGAGTGACAGATCAAAATCTATAAAGGTGTGAACTCACTGGTTTCCTCTCTATGTGTTTGGTTTCATAGGCTTATCATATTTTGGTCAGATCATCGCTCGCAGCTGTAACTATAAAACGTACGCTTTATTACAACATCAGCACAAGAGATTAAAAGTAGTAGCGGTGCCGCAATTAAAAGAACATTCTCAAATACCTCATCTACAATATTGTGACCTCTCTGTGCTATCTCTGCCTTTAATGTAACTAGAGGATTTGGATATCCAGGGCAGTTATTTATATATGACCCCCTCTTCACTCCCCACAACACCAGAACCCCCCATCCCCCCACTTCCTCTATATACTCAGTGTGTCAGTGGTTTTAGGTTTTGCTCGGCTGGTCAGATCCAAGGGCTTCCAATTAAAAGGCTTGTGATATGAACGGTGCACAGCTAGCACAACTGCTTACTAATTAGCTAACAGGAAATTAGCAGAACTTTGAGTGACGCGCCAGCCAGACGGCTATTCGCACCAGCGATTAGCGCTACTGTTTGAAGTCTTCACACTGGCCAATTAAACGAGCAGAGAGCCAAGCAGCTTCTGGAAAACTTCTTTGGCTTGTTTGTTAGAGTGAGAATGTGATAAGTCTACAATATGTAAGACAGGGGCACAGTTCTTTGCTACACAACATTTCTACTTGCAGTGTTGTACTTCCGTTAGTAAGCGTTGTTTGTCAGTGTCTATAGTTTGGAGCTTCTGATAAACCAGCATTAAGGTGATAGTGTGTATGATGGTTTCATGTTTGTGATATGTTACTGCACTGGAACGTGTAATTCAAATCAATTGTGATTTATCTAGAAATGTAACTTTTCAGAATCAAAATCAGAAATATAGCAGTCAAAATAAAGGAATTTAAATAGAAATAGAAATAGATTTGAAATGTAATAAAAAATAAAGCAATAAGTTCAATAAACTCAGACTGTTGAAGAAATAAGCTATGTATACAAAAAGCACTATTTAGGAAATTGAAGAAATTATTTTTCTACACAACTTCTTTTCTTCAGCAGCAACAAAAAAACAACAGAGAAAAAAGTGAAAAAGAAGGACTTCAAGTGACTGAGAAGAATAACTACAGTTTTATGTTTCACTGTTTGAATATCATTTTGTACCTCATTATCATTGCCTCCCTTAGATTCATATTATGACCCCAAACTAATGACTGAACAAACAGGTATAGAATTCACAGAAATGATTTGGATTTCCACAATTTCCCAGGATGGGATCAATAAAGTAAATATATCACTCAATCTAGCGATCAAAGGTACCACTAGTAGTGCTGTGACGCTATGTGTCCTTAATGGGATCTGTTTTGAGTGTGAATTGAACACTTGGTTACTCCAGCCACGCTTTCGACATGTAGTTATACATCAAGAAACGCAGCAATATGCAAACCAAGTAAAGTTTAAGTTTTTAAAAAAAGTTTCACAATTGTTTTTTTGACAAAGGACAATATTGTTTTGTAGACCTCAAGGATACACTCTTTGTATTTTAGTGAACAACACAAACTGCAGAAAGAAATGTTGACAGTTTAAAAGAAACCTCTAAGGCTATTAAATGTGAGGGGAGTAATGTTACCTATAGTTTCATTTTACACTACCACTGTAAAAATTAAAACTTCAGAGTCACATCAGCTCAAAGAGCAGACGCACAACTAAAAATAGAAGAACTAGATTTCTCGATCCCCTCGTGCCCATACCATAGAAAGAAGAGTATAAAACAAGAGAAGCTGCAGAGAATGTGCAGGTATCATTCATTGTGATACAGAGTTCCCTGAAATGATACTCACTGAATCTTCTTTGTGAAATTCTTTGTCACGATGCCTCCTTCTTCCTGCTTCTCTTCATGTTTTCCTGTTAAAAAAAAAACATCAGCAAACAAGTGAATGAGTTGAGTAAGCTTGACTTCCAGATGTGATTTCAAGGTTTAACATTGTGCAATACAATTGCTCAACTATTGATCATAAATGAGGGTCCTTCTGACAAGTTAACTCAACATTTGTCGTATAGTCATGTCTTAACAATTTAAACCTCAACAACTAAAATCAGAGTGTAACTGGACAAACACATTGCTAATGACATCATTTGGCACACAGAGTTTTCCATTGCTCCATCGATGCTGTGTTTTTGTTTTGCGATCTCTGGGTGGGTTACAATGAATGTGTTCAAATTATGTAACAATCTCTTTTTTTTTCTCTTAACTTTCTTCCAAGACAACAACAACTCGAATAGACAGAACACACTCATATTCTGATCATGGTCTCTCTCTCATTCTCTCTCTCTCTCTGGGGTTAGCTAGCAGCTGCTCTGGGGCGGCTAAATATCACCGCCTGCCGCCTGCAGTGTGGCCTGCCCCACCCCTCGACCCCCATTCTGCCTTCAAGGCTCGGCTATGTGCAACCCAACACCCACACAGTGACGTCTCTGCCCCACCGCAAGTGCTGGACTCCACCAGCGAACGAGGTTGGAATAAAAACTCCAGAGGGTTTGTTCTAAGATCACCAGTGAAATGAGTCATGAGTTCCAAATGAAAACTTCATCATGACTTGAAACTGGTCACCTGCTTATTTCCCTAAACATGTCATCAACAATGAAGGTTTGGTCAGAGAGCGGTCTCACAAGGCGTAATCTCTTCTTGTTTTTAAGTCTTTAGCGACAGAGATGCCAAGTTCAAGATGTTCTACACAAACTAGGATGTGCTGGGAGGAAATCTTTTTGTGATACATGATGTCCTAATAAGTTTAGTAATCTTCACATATGCAGATTATGCTTTATTTTAAAAACATTTGTACATCTGTGCTAAGGGGGAACTGGCATTGTTTCTCAACGTATCATACTAAAAATATAGTTTATTGAAACTTCTTTAAAGTTGTGTCTAATGTCTAATGTCTACATGCAATTAAGGAAAATATTTCAGATTAGTCTGTTTCCGTTTTTGAATGTATAGCTCAGCCCAGTACAAATTTAGACAGATAGATAAATAAATACTTTATTGATCCCGAGGTAAATTCAAAATGTTTTATACACATGCCCAAACGGGATTCTATGGACATGCACTAAGGGAGAGAGGCCAGAGTGAGGGAGCTGCCCAGAAAAGTGTTTCTTGAAGTGTTAAAAGTGCACAAAATAAGTATTTCTGGCGTTTTTTGTCCAAAACGAACTTTCATTGAGATAAAAAAAATGTTGTTAAAATCCTGAGTAAGATTAAATCAACCTTGAGTTTCAGCAACTTCCAGTGTGAGTAACAGCTTCACTTTTTTTTAGTTAATATTACTAGGAAGACAAAATGCATCACTGAAAGCAAATGCTAAAAGTAACTGATTCACGGAGGGACAACGGTCATGAGTACTCTTAGTTGTTCTCTGTTAAGTATTTGTAGTTTCATGTACTGAACAGTGCACACATGTGTGTATCACACTGCCTGTCTCACTTTTAGAACAGGGTTGAGTCACTCTGACTAGCCGGCCCAACATGGTGGTGATTGAATGACCCAACTGGCATACCAACATTGTGTTTATAAAAAAACTTCGATCTAGGGAGGGGGCTGCTGTCCTCTGTGCCTCCTCCAGCCGAGGGTATCCCTGCAATTCATTTTTATCTTTGAAGCACTGACATGAGGAAGCAATTTCTTCAAGCTACTCGCACAATCGATGGCTAAAAGATGATGTTAGCAGAAACAAAACCTACACGTGGACAGCAGGGTAACCATGTGATCCTATTTCCAGAACATTCTCTCCGGTGTTTAATGGCAGCGAGCAGCATGTCTTATTGTAAACAGAAACTGTTGTCACGGGCCTTGCCGTGCTTTAAATCTAAATTGAGCTCAGAGTGATTCTCCAGGAATCTGAAACAGGTGTCTAAGCTTGAGGATCTGCCTGCCAACGTTCAAGTCCCAGTCCCCAAAATCTGTCAGCCTCTTCCATATCAAGACTCATTAATGTGGAGAGCATGTTATACCTCTGAGGCTTTCATTATAGAGCTTCAAACTGCTGCAAAAGGAAACTAGCTGATACTGCTTGGCCAGGTTGAGTGGGGATCTTGAGAGGCTCTCTGCAATGTGTATATCATCCTTTGTTACATTTAAAAGAGGGCTTTTATTTATTATGAGTTTTACATGTGATTCATTATGTGTTTAACATATATAAAACACGTAAACCGTTGTAATATTGATTTCAAATATTGAGGTCAGGAGTCAGAAGAAGTTCTTAAATCACACGCTGCAACAGGTTAGCTCTGGAATTATAATGCAAATTGTCTTCGGATATACATTTTTGTTTGTTATAATAAACTTTAACATGTTTAATATGTTTTCTGTTCACTTTTATATCCACAAGTGAACAGCTAAAAGCTGTTTCTGTTCTTTTCCACACAGCCAGAAACACATTTCAGCAGAGAAAAACAAACTTCAATTAAAATGTTGTAATCTCAAATCACATTTATAGATACTGAACATTTACCATTTGTTAGTCTATTGTAAGTATTTAAACCATGAAATTTCAATTAGCAGTACTGGTGGCATGGCCTCCATGTCCTTGATGGATGTGCTCAAAAAATCGATATGGCAATATATCGTCATGTGCTCCTTGCAAATACATGTATCCATGCAGATGTTACAGAAGGGATATGGCTGTAATGCTGTGATGACAGTTTTGAAAGACAATTTATCTATGGTGCAGTTCACAATCACATGTTAGATATAGCTCTGGGATTAAAATATTTGAGTGTATTTCCAGGATCTCTGGGGAGCTAAATTGAAGTGTTTGAAGTTGTAGGATCCTTATGCCTCTGCTGTTATTCTCAACAACTGTGGCCTCTGTATCTGATAGGTATCTTGAGTTTGTGGGAAATACCCAGCCTTAAAATACACCCTTAAAAATGTATTTATTATTGTCATAATGTTGTTTCAATATATTTTTTCTTTCTGTGCATTGATTAAATACTAATTTAAATGCACTTTGGGCAGCATGAACTAAAAGCATTTAATGATAATCTGTTTCCCCGTGTTATCTGAACTGCTGGCTGTAACAGAAGGACATCATCAGGTGGTTTAACACTGACTTCCAGTCACTTAGCCAATTACATGATAGCCGTACAAATAGTAAGAAAAACATGTTGACATTTAGTTCTGACCTCTGAGTCAGCACCCAACTCACCTGACACTTCTACAAATCCGTCTCTCGTTTTGACGTTTAGTTCCTCTGCTTTGAAGCTGTGCACGTTCACACAAACTTTCCAAGGTTCCCCCCCGGTGGTAATGGGTGAACCCCGGGAGGAGGGCTCTCCGTACCTGCTGGTGTACAGCGCGGGGCCTCCTCCCGTGGACTGTCGCGCGGGGAAATTTGTGCGTATACTGCTGCTGAAAGGCGACGGAGTCAGGCGCGTGCTGAGCCGGCCCGGCCGAGCCCATCCCGGCCAGTCCATCGCCAGCTCATCGGGAAAATGTGGCATACCAAAGTCTTCCTCCATAAACCGAGACGCGAGCTGATCCCTGAACGGAGACTGATCTCTGAACGGCGACTCTCCAAACGGATCCCTGGGAAACCTTTGCCGGTTTCCCATAGTGTAGAAGTCTCCCTCTGCCATATCCTGTGTGCAGCTCAAAACCAGTAAAAAGTTTTGGGTTTTGTGCCGAAAGAAAAACTCGAACCTAACGTTAAAGTTGAAAATCAAAAGTATTACTACTGTTATCTATGCGTTGTAAAACTTGATGTCTTTTGGATTACGCACATCACCGTTACGCAATCAGTCTCCCGTTGATTCAACACGAACTCCTGAAGATGCACAGCCTTTCCTTAAAGTGAATCCCCCCCTGGCTCTGGGTTTTATACTGGTCAGTGATTTCCCAGACGATGATCCAGTACAGAGTAAGTGTCCGGAAAGTGCTGGGAGGATCTGAAGAGCATGCACACTGCAAAAAAAAAACAACCATACAAAAAGTTCTATACAACATTTAAATCTTTAAAAAAAGAGAAAACTTGATAAATAAATTACTCAATATAACACAATTCAACTTTACCAGCATGTTATTGGTGTCTTAAATGTCTTAATGTCTTAAATTGAGTACAAATTCCTTTCTTACGCTGATATTTTTTTGCAGTGTGCAGTCGCAACAGCTGACCAAAGACCAGCCTCCTTTTCCCCAAATAAAGTTGCTGTCCACATGTCACTCATGCAGAGCTGGAGCCCCCTCCTCTTTATGACTCACCGGTGTTTTATTAGAAAGTAACGCAGAGCTTCAGGTCAAACATGTGATGTCACGGAACGGATAAAACAACACAGCTAAGTTGTCAACTTTGTGCAGATGTTGCAGAAGTGTTTGGTGTGGGGTTTCTGAACACAAAACAAGATGTCTGCTGTGTTCTTATTCAGAGCAAGTTTTTTTTTTTCTTCTTTAATATAGCTTATTCTAAACACGAAGGGAAAGTTGATTTCATGGGGTTATTCAATTTTCAGGTGACACATTATTACATTGGAGGATTTTGCACTGACACGAGACAAAAGATGACAGTATGAAAAATGTATGCTCCTTCAGATGGAAAACAGAGTGAGGATATGCATAATTTAACACTGATACACTGGATCACTATTGCTATATGAGCTTGTTATTGTGGATTTGTAAAAGAACAAAGACACAATCAGAGGGATCTTCAGTACAAAGACATATAGAGTCCATTGATTGATGGTGTCATGGCACATTTCTTTTCCATCGTACAATGCTTAATATCCAACATTTGAACATCCAACAAGGCCTTAATCACATTCTGAAAATCAATAATCACACTTTTTGAATAATTTATACAATTCAGATGCATATTTACACCACAGCAGTTAAATAATCAAAATCTTTTTTTTTTCCACAAGAGCTTATGTAAATGTTACATTGTGAGATAGGGAAAGTTCTATTGGCCTGCATGGGCCCCCCATCTTGAAAATTTATCAGCTTGACTGCACAAATCTTTCCTCGGCACATCGTCAACATGGGCTGACATGACTCATCATCGGTTAAGAGTTTATGAATGACTTTTGTGCCAAGTTCCTTCCTCCTCCAGCATCATGTTCCCCTCATTTGTCCAATTTACTTGACATTCGGGGAAATAATCTGAGAGTGTTGAGTGCATAGAGAGCAGTCTGTCAGGCCTGGAGCAGTTCCTCAGACAGGATGATGGATTTGAAATGATTGAGAAATATAACTCTCTTAATTGTATGGTGAGGCAGTTTCAAACTGTGGGGTCAGAGAAGTTTGTATATAACCTTCTTGGGATAGTTTCACATTTTTCAAACAAAGCCTATTTGCTTACTTGCAACAAGTAAGATGAAAAAATTGATCACCCCGGTATCGTAATGACAAACATGAAGTCTGAATTAGCAGCCGGTTAGCATAGCTTGCATAAAGATTAGAGAACAGGAGACATGTTGGTTTGAAACAAAAGTTAATAAAAAACACAAAACAATCAAGCAGCACCTCAACAGCTTTCTGGTTATTGTGTTCTGGCAAGAAGTACAACAGCACAATGTGTCACCAATCAGGGGAAGATTGAGGACATTATCTGCTGGGTATTTAATCATTTCAGAGTTTCCTTTTTTGTGTGGTTAACTTAGTTAAATTGTTTGTTTATGTCGGCATAATCCTTCCCAACACAGCATAAGACTGTCTCGAGTTGATTTTGTGCCAAAACTCAACTGCACTCCCTAAACTACTCCGGCTGGTAAATTGGCTAGCTTGACATTTACAAATCACTTTATCAAACAACATTGGAAATCATCACTAGATCCATGCAGCGTAGACACGCTACAAGTGTCACATCCCTGTTTTGGCTGTCTGCCAGGAATCTATCTGAGTGCAAACAACAAGGTTCTGACTGCAGTTCACTTAACTGCCACCAGTCTTATCTTGTCACGTGTTGTTCTTGTTTAGTTAAGCATTTTCCTTTTCTTTTGTTTTGTTCTTCCCTCATGTTGCTGAACTCCCTGAAACACTTTTGACAGAGAAAAGCAAGCCCTCCACTTGTCTTTTGTTTTTAACTATGCTAAGCTAAGTTAGCCTGCAGCTGTAGCTTCATATTCAAGACAAATGAATATGAGAGTGATATAAACGGTGGCATTATTTACCTCTTTCCTGTATCGTATTGGGGTAAAGGGTGGATAATTCCTGCAATCCTACTTTTGATCCTTCATCATTTGATCACCTGCTTCTACTTAACGTTTGTGAGTAAGAGACGGTGTCAAATATCAAATACAACACATACAAACCAAAAATAAATGATAGTGTCATAATAACTATAAATTGACAGTGTTGCATAGAAAGACTGAGCGCTACTGAGAGGGACAAGAAAACAATAAATATTAAATAAGTAATATGATGCAGCACAAATCCTTGACCTTCAGACGTACTTCAAGAATAAAGCGTGGTTGATTTCCAGTGTATGTGTCTGGTTCCAGTGTTGAAAATTGAGGTCAGTCAACGGTATTTGAAAGGTTTTAAATGAAACAACAATGTGAGGTACCAGTTTGACTTTGTCATCTTTTATAAATCAAAACTATACATTGAAAACTAAGACTGACATATGTTCACATACAGACTCTACCAGATGACAATTCATGTAAAAAAAAAAAAAAGTGTGTTATATTGAACACTACATACCCTTTACCCAAAAAGCTTCATCATGTTTAATTACCCGTGAGATGTCAGTGAGAAAACCTCATCTGACTCTGTGGACATTTTGTCAAAAGAAATCCCCCTCCCTCTTCTTCCCTGCACCATGTTTCAATCGCTCACAGTTGTACTACATGGACTGACATTTCAATTGTTTTCCACCTGATCAGAGGATAAATTAATTTGACATTTGAGCTGACAGGCAGTTTGCTCGCCGTCAGGCCACCCTTGCTGTTTCATTTTTCAGAGTTTCTGTTTTTTTTTTTTTTCTCTCCCAGCCTTGTGAAGTGTCAAGATCAGAGCTATGAACCTTTTCCGTATCCCTGATAACGATCCCTCTGAAGCCATTTGTATACACTTGGATCAAACGGCTCAAATGTTACTTCAGTACTTCACATCGCTGCACTAGATCTAATACATGGAGACCTGACAAGGGACAGTTAATATCTCAATATCTCAGCACCGAGTGAAACTTGAAAAGGCTTCACTCGGTGCATCTGCACATCCATCAACTAAAATGATTTGTATATTGAACACCCAAAATCAACACAATTAAGCAATTACAACATTTCTTTGTACACTCAGGCCTATTTATGCACCATTTTTAAGTTGATCTAAAAATAAATATTATGTCTTTAAATTATTTCAAACTTTAAATAGAAATCATATCCGTGAAAGGCTCATGAACATAAAAACAAATGACTGCAGTAGTTAACCAAATTCAGGAGTCTGTGCAGTTTCTTTTGTAAGTATCTAAGGGCTGAACAGTCTCAGGATGTGTGAGTGCTGATGCAAGAGGAGGATGCAGCACAGGAACAAAACAAACAAACAAAAAGACATCCAGTCTCTAGCGGTTTCTGCGGACAGAGAGAACAAGACTGCATCAATGACGTGCTCAGACCCCTGCTGGGACATTTCCACTCAAGCGTCAAAACGGGCGCTCACAGTCGATTGCTCAGACATCCAGCGCCATCCCGCTCTCAACTGGAAACACGACCAACGCCTCAGTCTCTTAATGTTCTCTGAGAAACCCTAATGCCTGTTTTTGTTGCGTTTGTGCAATGAACCCCGACTCCTGCTGCGACTCCGGGTTCCAAAGATTGAGTTCCAGGATGAGCTGCGGCTGTAGGTCCTGTAGGAGGAGTAACTGTGGCTTCTGCTTCTGCTCCGGCTCCGACTGAGGCTGTGGATTAGGCTGCGACTGCGGCTGAAGAGGCTGCTCCAGGACGACACACTGGTGGACCTACTGCTGGAGGAAGGGCTTGGTCGGAAATAAGGGATGGGTCGCTTCCTGGCACTGTGGAGAGCCAGAAAGGTAAATGGTTTAAAACAAGATAAACAGAAGGAGAATTGAAGCTGCCTTTTGTGCTTTTCTCCAAACATTAAAGCTGCACAAATCAAGAATTTCACCACTCTTACCAGACTGCTAACTAATCCATTGTCCATAATCTGCTCAGTACTCTACACAGAGACAGACAAACTCAGCGACCAGCTATTTCCATCACAAGACCCTCAGACCAAAACCAAACATGAAGAAGAATTACATAAACACATTTAGCAAGTGGCAGGGGGCTTCAACTAACGATTTCCTGACTGATTGTTGAAATATGTATCATCTGGAAAACTGCACAATTTTAATAGGATAATTTTCAAAGTCTAAAGTTAATTTATTTAAAAACCACTTGTTTATGAAAGAGATATCCAGGGACAGTGAGGGAAAAAACACCTCAAATTAAGACACACACAAAAATCAGAACAACAAAGTGTTTCTTATTGCTGAATTTGAAGCTTGCTCCTAATGCAACTGGACTAGTTAAAGATCTTAAAAACGTTTCACCTCTCCTCTGAAGGGCTTCTTCTAGAGATGGAAGAGGAAGCTTTCGGAGGAGAGGTGAAGAGGTGTTCAACTAGTCCAGCTGACCTTTGGATCAAGCTTCGGATTTACCATGACCTGGATGACTGAGAACCTACACAGCTATCTCATTTCTAGTTTTAGTGTCACCAAACCAGGGTACCTAAAAATCCGGCACCAACAGAACAGCCCGGATATTAATGAGGAGTTTTGTTTCTGTTTTCTCTCTGTTTGCTGTATATTTTTTTTTAAGTTAAACTAAATGTAACTCACTGAAAAATTAAAGTCTCCTTTATGTCCTGACAAAAAGCTGGGAGTTGAAAAACCAATATACTGGTTGACAATAAAGCATCCAACCTGAAACTCTTCCATGACTCATTCTCATTCTGCAATATTTGACTACAATGCAGAAGAAGAACAAAGCAGATAGAAGGATTAATAACTACATCTGTTCATTTATGGTTAAATCTCTCTGTGACTTTCATGTGTTTTTCTCAGTCTATCTCTGGTTGTCACCTCTGCAGAGAAAAGGCAGCCTAAAAAAAGAACAGAAAAGTGACACCGACAGTGAGGCAGAGGATCTGCTAGAAAAATGAATATCAGACACGTTGTTCTTTTTTTTCTTTTTTTTTTCAGATTGCCTGTGTTCACCATCTGCTTCTTTAGCACCTGGGGTGGCTTCAGACCTGACGGTTATCTCATCCGCGGGCTAAAAGCCATTTCAAGGTGCACAGCACATCAACACGATGTGACTTCAGGATGGGGATTTGTCCAACTGAGGGGGTGGAGGGAGGAACCAGTAGAACATTTCGCTGCATTTAGGCATAAAACATGGATTTTATAGCTATAAATTACCAGGCTGGGAAAGCTGAAGGCTACCTTGTGATACGACGGGCTTCCAGATGGCTCGGCGAGTCTCTCCTCCTCTTCCTCATGGGGGAGTAGGATTTGCGTCTTTGTCTCTTCCTGCTAACCTTGTGTGCATGCTTCACATCTGTCTCTCTGGAGCTCTGTTTTCTCTTTCTGTCACGTAGTCTGGGAAGCAGACATTACAATATGAAATTTTAATCACCAACAAGGTAAATATATATATTTATCCTGGTGAAACACTAATGAGGAGTCATTAGCAGCTGAGTTTTTACCTGTCAGGAGTGTATCTGCTGTAGCTTCCTCTGGAGCTCAGGCTGGCCACGCTGCCTCGTCGTCTTGGATCAGCTGAATAACTCGGTGAGCGCGAGTACGAGCTGGCAACGACAAAAATTACAATTACCCCTGGAAACTGTGATTCCAGAAAGTTGCAGAAAATACTTAAGCAAAATGAAACATGTAATAGTGCAAGTTTCTATTAACTACCTATTGCAAATATATTAAGAATACATGATCTATTGTAACTGGGGCTGCTAAGTCTGAAAATGTGTGATATTTTCTATCCTTTTTTATCAATTAAATACAAACATGCAGCATGCTGACAGTCAAAGCCTTCAAACTGATTATTAATAAGCCACAGTCTCGTCATCTTTACAATTTAAGTTAAGATAGTCTATTAACTCGTCAATTTCTGTTAATGAGCCAATAGTTTTTAGAGTCAATTAATGTTTTCAGCCATTTCTATGTAAAATGTTTTCTTTTGTTTAGTCATGAATGTTAGTAAAGACGACTACTGGACTGTATTGAAGGAAAGAGAAGGGTTTTGAAGTTTTGGTTGGACACAGGAAGAGATTTGTTAAAGTCACTGAAGGCTCTGGGCAATTATGATGAGAAAATTTCCACATTCTTTATTGGACTATGGGTCAAAACTCTGGAAAACTCTGAGCTGTCAATCTGAAAGTTTAGCTTTAGGTTTCTAAAAATCCACAATGCAAGTTTTGAACGAATTCTATGATAGTTTCTGAAACTTCCCAGGAAGTTTAGAAAAAAATCTTTAAAAAGATCCGATGAAAGTTAAACCAAAGTAATGTGAAGGTATACCCAAGTAGATATTGTTGCTTGACAGTGGCTTCATTCGGAAAGAGTTAAGGGATCACCAAATCTAATTAGACCCCTCCTGAGGGGAACATAAACTGTCAGTGCCATGTTTTACTCCTTACCACAAATTTGAACATCATGGCCTGAGAGGAAGTCAATGGATAACCGAAGTCATTGGACCTTACTGCCTGAGAACATTGACTGTATTAAGCTTTATGCCAACTCATCAAGTTGAAGACATCACCAAAAAACAAGTAATATTCAAAAGGATCACCAAGGTGTCCTACTTTTCTACTTTTCTTTATGACCAAATTGAAATGGATGTAAGTCTTCCTGACATACTAGTAGCTGTTTGTAGTATTAAACTTCAAAGTTGTTAACTAACCTGCAGGATGACAGTGACAGGCTTCGGGAGCAGCGTCTGGAGTTTCTGGAACTCCCGGAGGATCTGCTTCTACTTCTGCTGCTGGATGACCGAGTTTTCAGACGCCTTCGAGACGGTTTGCTCATCCTCTGTGAACTGTGATCTGTCTTTGGAGATCTCACCACTTCCACCCGACACCCCAAGGTTATCTGCTCCCTGCAAAGAAAACACATTAAGACATTTTACTGCTTTGAATGATAACACCAAAACTGCTTCCTGGGTTGTGCTTTTAAGACACGCTCTCCCTTATTCTCTCACACATATGAATATTTCAAAAAAGAGGAAACAGTGCATGGAAACAAAAGATAAACAGCTTGTTATTTCCGGGGAAGCATTTCTTCTAATGGATTATTCAAAATTAGATAAACATTACCTCTTGCCGTTTGCACTGAAGAGGGTTGCAGACAAGCTTTCCTCGGCGTAAGGTCTGCACAGGGAAGCATAGCTGGTCACTGAGTTTCCTGAATCAGAGACATTGTCTCTTTCTGGGAACTTCAGCTTCTCTGGAGATGCCAGACGTTGACAGTGGCTCCCCTTGTTGTCACTGACACTTGCTCGAGAAACTCCAGTTTTGCTTGACGGTGGTGAAGATGTGTCATTCCCAGAATCGTAATCATGCGGACCTTCGATCTGGCTCGACAAATCGTGAGACCTGATTCCGCTTAAGAGCTCCCCTGCAGGTTTTGTTGAAATAATCTGCAAACAGACAAACAGGCCTCAGCTTAAAGCCAAGCATGTGTAGACAACTGGAACCTGCTATCTGCTTTGATGAACTGTGAATAAACTAATAAAAAATAAAAAAACATATTCCCTTGAAAACACAGAATAAATTTCTCTTTTTTTTCCTTTGGACAGAAAACTTTGGAAGATAAAAGACATCATGCAAATTTAAAAGCATGCGATTTATCTCAAAAGAAGGTCTGAACTCAACTAAAGTGAAAGAAATCAACAAGAAGGAAATTTAGATCAAGTCTAAGCTAAAACAATTATATGAAAGGAACAACAAAACAGCGAAGAAGAAAGAAAAAACTGCGTGGAAAGATCTACCGCCTCTAACTGCAGTGAAGAGAAAAAGAGTAAAGAATAGCCCCGTTGAAAAGCTTCATTTAAAGAACATTGAACAAACGTCACAAAATGGGTATTATGTAGAAATGAAAAGGATTGCAGACAAAGAGAGATTCCCATCAGTCTAACTAAGAAAGCCCTCAGAATAGGACAGATGACTGTGACTCTTTCTCCTGTAAGAAGTAAACAATCAACCTGCACCGACCTACAAGTAAATCCCTCAATCTGCGGATAGCATCGACTTACCAATCAAGATTTCCTCCTTAAGTAGGTAAGGTGTAAGAAAAAGGGAAGAGCGGGCAACATAAGTGCATCATTAGAGTCGTCAATTGCAAGAAAAAGACAATAACCCTCTCTTCACACCCAGAGCCAGTTAGACTTTCACTGGAAATTTCCTTTTTCTTTCTTAATTGCTGCTTTGCTTTGGAGATTCTTGAAAGCCAAGAATCCTTTAAAAGTGTGTTTGCATGTTTGGTAACTTAACAAGAATACTTTTTTTCCCCCCAACTGGAGACATCCACAGATGGAAAAAGATAGCCATTCTCCAGGGATCTTGGTAGACTATCTCACAAAATATAAGATCTCTCTTTACTTATTGAGACCCTGAGGTTGATCGGTCTCTCCTCCTGAAGGTTTCCTATTTAGTATCTCTTGTCTTAAGTTGACACAACAGAGTCACCCCTGAGGGAAATTTAAACAAATCTGTGTTTCTTTACCATCCGTGTTTATCACTTGAACCTATGTGCAATCTGTGCAAACTCAAAAGACACATTTTTTAACTGAGACATTCTTCAAAGTCAGCTCCAGATGTATTTCACAAGACTGCCTTCCCATTCACATTTCATCTCTGCCTCGGTATTTTACAAATATCTGCTTACATTTCTGTTTGTTGGTACACTTTTTTATGCTTCTTCCACCAAAAAAACAAACAAAAAAACCTAATCATCATGAAGAACTAGTTATAGTAAAGGTTTATGTTAATTTACCAAATTTATTTGGATTTTGTTGATATTTTTGGTATTTTTCTTTCAATGCCTTTTTTGTGTTTCAAAATGAAATTCAGGTTACTTTGTGTCCATTAAAAACAAATAGAAATTCAGAGCACTCACCATACAAAACACGACTAATAAAGCAATCTTCCCTTTTTTTAGATTTATATTTTGTGTGGAAAAAAAAAAAAATGTAATAAGTAAAGCTCACTCTGCATTACTGGTGAAATTACATGTTTTCATTCCCTAAATAAAAACTAATTATAAATGCAAACACCACTGAAGCCCCTCAGTAACCAACCATTAAGTCCTCCTGAAAGACTTAAGGATATTGAATGCCAGACTTAATTCAATATATGGATTAATTTATTGAATTTCAATTAAAACCCTGTGCTGTGTAATTAAAAACATTCATTTGTGCAATTAGCATAATTTAATGATTGCTGGAGAGAAATTAAATATATTTCATGCTCCAGTGAGCATGAGACAATGAGTTTAAGGACAGAATTGTATTTATGAGTCTCTGAGGGGAACATCAACCTGCAATAAACAGCACCTTGTTAAAATAAAAACCCTGGCTTCTGGTGGTTGTCAATCAAATGTTAAGGATGGTACTTTTTTGCTGTTCAGCTTCAGGTCGGGTCTGTAATTTGAACAACTAAAAAAAGCGCAACATTACTTTTGTTTTCGTCCATAAAGAGACTAGTCAACTACAGTACGTCCTCTAACCGATCTTGTTTTTGCCATTGACGGGCCCAGATTAATGTTCTAATTGTCTGACACCTTCATGTGAGGGGATCCCTTGAGGAGTCTGCCTTTATGTTCAAATGAAACACCTTTTATTTTTAGCCAGAAACAGAAGTGGCTTTCAATGAGAAGTCACTCTCAACTCCTGCCAGGAGTGTTTCGTTGCAGGAAGACAATGATGGGAACAGAAGTAAGAGTTGGAGAAGAAATTGGAGATTCTATGGATTCAGCTGCTAGCAAGAATTCATTTCAGGGGCGCTGATTTGGCCGAGTTGGAAGAGAGAGTTCCCCGTGTACAGAGGCTGTACTCCTCAACACATCAGCCGCAGGTTTGACTCCCAGTCTCATGTCTAACCCTTCTCTCTCCTCCCCACCATTCCTGTCATAATCAATACAGGCCAGAAGTCCAAAAGAATAAGAATTGATTTCAATCTGAGTCTGTCAACGGCAAAATATTAACCTAAACTCAGTGCACTTTGACTGCAGGTGCCTTCAAAGTGCTGCAGCCAACTTGACATAACAAGACAGAGTGATAACACGAGAGATTTGTTTGTTACATTTCTGCTGCTAAAAAAAAAAAAAAAAAATCGATCACTTCCTGCATAGCAAAGCCCCTTCACCTAAATGTACAATACAGTGCAGAATATATTTAACATTAGAGGATGCTGAATGGTAATTTAAACAATGTCTTCATCTTGACCATGGCTGCCATGAACACATTAATAAATTAATAATTGAAAACATGATAATGACATTTTCATTGAAATATAAGCCAGAACAAAATCTTCAAATCATATTAATAATACTTTAGTAACGTAAACCGATGTGTGGAGTGAAAGGCTGTTAACGATGTTCTTCCTGTTCATTTGACTTTGACACTCGATCCCTCAGCACGAGACAAAATAAGCTTTAAAGACACGTCATTTTCCTGTTGCTGTCATTGGAAGCATTACGGGGAGTACTTGATGGTATTCGTTTTTAAACAGAAAACCTACAACTGACAAAATTACCTTCAAATAAGGAATCCATAAAAAAGGGCTCAGAGTAGGGCCATGTAAAGTTTTGAATTTTATAATTATCTACAACCTTGAGGAGAGATAATGGGATCAGACTAAAAGAATTAAACAAATTAAAGCATTTTGGTTGAATATTCACGGTAGGAATTTTGATAAAAAACACCAGGATGTGTCATTCAGATCTCAAAGGGAGTTATTTGTCTCTATTGTGAATGATTTCTATTCCCCCTCTGCCTCACTGTTGGTGTTTCTTACATGGCCATAACTGAGAAATCAAACTGTCCCAGCGGCGGCACTGATAAAGGTCTACAGGGTACTTACGGTGGCGGTTGAGAGGATGGAGCGATATTTTGGAGCCGTTTTACACACTGATTTGGTTGCAGGTCTCCATTTCATGTCTGTGTGGTCAAGCACTCTTTTGGTTTCATCAACTACAGCTGCCAGCTCTCCTAAAGTCTGATGAACCACAGATTTCTGCAGGTGGTGTCTGCGGGAAAACACTGGGTTTAGTTTTCAAGACACAGCAACATGATAGAAAGGCTCCCGTCCTATTCGGAATGTCAGATGATGAAAAACAAATTTTGACATTTGCACATTTGAAATGAGTTAAATACTTAAATGCAGCCATGAAATTCTTGTTTTTTTTTTGCCTATCTTGTAAAACAATCTGTAATCTGTTGTGTTATCATAGAAAACTTCAAAGGAAATGTTTCTTCATTATTATTCTAGCTGAGAAATGTTGCTGATGAGGGACTGAGCTTGAGCTGTATAAACACATGCTAAAAATGGTCTTAAGTTCGATCTTACCTGATTTTTAATTGTGATTTCCTAAACTCAACATCTCACAGAAACAGTCATTAGTAATAAACAGTTTAAGTCAGACTTCTCCATTTTAAAATAGACCTTTAGCAGAAGGCCAAGGGAGAGTGTTGTTTGCATAATCCTTTAGCGAGCTTGAGGCTATATTCGTTTTCACAGCAGAGAGCATAGGCTTCTATTCTTAACATTATTATTGTTTATGTATGTTTATGATGTCATCATATACGATTTCATTCCCAAACAGAGTAACACAACACAGGAGCAACTGTCTCACTATGGTCGTATAATTGTTTGTCTAATTTGTTTAACAATGATCCAAAATAGGAACTGGAAAAGCCTTGATGATAACCTTCAGGTTGTGCAGAAGGCTAAGGATAGGATACAACATTTAAACATCTGGTTTATTTTCAGAATAAAACTCTCTGTTTTGACGGTTCAGAAAGACGACCATCCGCTTTTTAAAAAGGCGTCATCCTTTTTCCTTTTTCTACAGTATGTAAAAAAGGCGCTGGCAGTTGAAAAAAGAAGTCATGTGTGAACACGGCCTAAAGGAATATAAAGCTTTTTTATTTCACAAGCATGGCATCACTAAAAGTGTACTCTGTATTGTATTCATTCATCAAAATGCCTTTGCCCACCACTCAAAAAATAGAAATCCTCAAAAACTACTAAATGTGCCTAAAGTTTTAAGCTGTGTACATTTTTTGTGACTTATTGTAAATACATTACAATAAGCAAACAGCAATGTAGGCACTGGGGGACCCTTTGCTTAGTAGGATTAATTGGGCTGAAGAACTGCATTTTCAGAATATTTAATCAGTTACCTCAGTTTGAAATATGTCAAAGCTTTCAGGGCGCTGTCATCCTGCCTCTATGCATGATTTCTTTATTTCTTTACTCATTATTGAATCAAGGGTTAATTATCACCAATTATTTTGCTAACTGAAAGAGAACATTATGCTACTAACTTTGCTCACAATCATCCATAAAGGCTATAAAAAGATAATCTTTCATACTATCACACATCTGAGATGTGTCACTATAATTGAGTCTATCGATCTGTTCAGTGAATTTAGGGCCATTTCCTGTGAAGCTGTGATAAGGGCCAGTCGAGCCTGCGATCAGGAAGTCACCTCTGTCTTATCAGTCATCTCTGCCGTGTGACCGGGAACTCTGCAGACACCTCAGGCTGATAAGATAAAGTGAGGGAGGAGTTGCCGGGTGAGGGGGAGGGGGGGCTGATGGGTTCCTACCTGTCCTCTGTGGAAGATTGGCAGGAAGAAGTCTCTGATTCTGACCTCCGATGGCGTCGCTTCCGCCGTGAGTGAGTCCGAGAACTGAAGGAAGTGATGAGGAAGGAGGAGGAGAGAGAGGACACGAGTGGATAAGGAGCTACAAGCATGATGATCAATCAATCGATAGGAATTACTTCACAACAGTTTCTATAATCAGTCAATCATTCAAGTTTTTTGGTTCCTTTTTCGGCCTTATTATTTGCTTCTATACCAAGGAGGCACATGGGTAGAAAGCAAGGCTTCGCAATGTCATTGTATCCAGGGGTCTCAGCTGTAAGCAAACTCTGACCCATTCATACTTACAGTTACACTTACATTATACACATGGAGGCAGGGGGAATTGACGACACAGACGGTGAAGTGGAGAATTGAAGCCAGAATGTATATTGATGTGTCACATCTTTATATCACTTAACTTTACTGACAGATCCATTTCATCATAGTCATCAAAACCGGTAGATCATTCCGGTAGTTGCAGTGATTCAGTGCAGGAAACCATTGATCTGCCAGCTCATATGAATGCATTTTTATTCACGAGGTGCTTTGCATTGACTATTTAAGGTTGAACGTTCAGATGAATCATGATTTCTGAAAGGAACATCGCGTGCAGGTTTGCGGACGCATGGTTTTTAAACTTTTTGTATTACTTTTGGCATACTCCCTTCTTGGAATTTTTGTTTTGTTTTGTTATTGTGAGAACAAGAAAGTTACTGCTCCAATATAATGCTAGAATATTCGGTGTCAACTCAAAACAATGTCGGGTCTTAGCATCATTTGATACAGGCTGGTTAAGGCACAGAAGACCCCAAAAGAACCCCTCCAAACAAGAAACTGGCCAACGTGAACAAAAATAATCAGGCTGAATGAGTGACTTTAACAAAAGAAAATATAAAATGTATTAACGTGTTATACACTATAATTATCCTTCAATGATTTGTTCTTCTGATTGGTAAATCAAAATGAAAGATACAAAGTAATCTTTGTTAGTTAAACCTAGCTTTAGCCCCATATAGAGAGCACTAACTGTTTGTATTTCTGTCTACATTACCAGATCTTATTTTCTGAGCTCTATACTCTATAAGATTTAAAATATACACTCAGATCAAGCATAACTTTAAGGGATGTACAATTTAAATAGGTTTTTCCAAGTGTGTCATCTCCACCTTTGGTGAATATGGGTTGAGTTAGAAAAATATGAGAGATGGAGACTGTAAAGAAGGAGGAAAAGGCTCGAAGACAACAAAGAAAGTGAGGAGAGCGTTTTAGTGAGCAGGAAAGCTGTGGTTTCTGTTGAAGTAAGCAGTGTCTGATCTCGGCTCTGTGCTTACAAACAACGGCCTGTTCATCCAAAGTCGAATTATAAAATGTTAGAAGATCACAGCATGAAATTGGTTTCTCTTACCCTCTTTCACCCCTTTTTTCCTTCTCTTTGTGGCTCAGGCTTTCAATCTGTTTCCCTCTTTACGAGGCTTTTTTCACGCTCTACTCGGATAAATAAAAAGCTGCACGTTTCTTTATTCACCCATCATGCCCTTACATGAGAAGCTTCTGGAGGATGCTCTCTCTTTTCTTCCTCTGCAATGGGTTTTCAGCAAAGGGGTGCTGGGCTTACCATGAGGTGGGGAGAGGAGGAGTGGGGGTGGGGGGGGGGGTAGGGGGTCCATAAAAGTTGTGTAAGATTTGGAGAGTACATGATTCTGATGCAACAAGCACAGACTGACCTTTTCTTGTGCTTGCGCTCATCCTTCCTCTTATGTTTTAAACTTGAAGAGCTAGTGGGATGAAGGAGAATAGAATCATGAGCGAGAGAAAAAAGTCTGATCAAAGTCTGCTTTCAAACTGATACATAAAGGCCATCGGCCCTAAAGTTAAATGTATCCAGTTGAGGGCTTCTTGCCTTTAAAGTTGCTTGTGCATGCTAAATTAATGCAGAATTTCTTGCTCGAATCAGTTACATACCTGTGTTTGGACTTCTTCGAGGTATACCTGCAACAGAGGGGAAAAATACATGTTTTTGGTTACTTGATCCACAAACTGAAACTGATGAGAGCTCAGTCATGCAGTCATATGAACTTGTGCTTCCTGTTGACAGTGTTTCATTGTATGACATTATGTTTCCTGTATTGTTATATCTGCTTTATCGATGACTTTGTTTGTAATGTGTCTTCTGTATTTGTTGTTGATTTTTTTAATATTAAAGGCCCCATCTATGGAGGGCAATTCAAATTAGCTAAAGCCATAAATGCACTATAGTGTCTGGTATCATATCCTCCCTCATACGTGTCCCTATACATAGAAATATATATTTTTTTAAATATATACATGTCATGTATTTTTGCTGGAGCTGGAAATACCTATGCCGCTTGCTTTTCTTGGAGCTCTTCTTCTTCTTCTTTTTCTTCTTCCTCAGGGGCGACAGGCTGTGGGAAGGAGACCTAAAGGGGGGTGGGGGGGGGGGGACACACACACACACACACATGAACTCCAAGCACGCTCCTGCAACCTCTCAATTCTATTTATTTCGCACAACACTACGAAGGGGACACAGAAAACTCAGAGGTGCGTTGTATCTCTATTTGGGAACTGACCTTTTCCTCTTCCTCCTCCTCCGTTCAGACTTTCTCCTCTTCTTTTTTTTCCCCTTGGGCCGAGGGGAGAGATCCTCATCTGAGAAGGGGCTGCAGATGGAGACACAGCAGAGGGGAAACTTACTTCAGTTTTCATTACAGTGATGGGATATCAAAATGAGAATGTTTGGCTGCTTGAGCTTAGCAGGTAGAGTTAAATGTTTAGGATCACATTATTTGGAATTACATTTGTAAACTGAGTCAGACTGTTACAGGGTTTAGTCACCAAATTACATTTGCTTATACTGTTTTTGTTTCACATATATAAAAAGTATATAAGTCCAGTTATACAGTTTTTGGGTTTCCATCTATGAGATTTCTACATCCCACCATTACAGGTGAATGGAACCACAACAGCACAGTATCTAAAGTCAGTCCAGTTCATACCAAAGAGTCAGGATAAAAAAGAAAGAAAAGTTGCAGTGGTTTAATTTGCTGGTCTCGGCTTGACCCAGGCAGGCTGATGGAGTGTTCTGCAACTCTTGCCAAGACCTCGGTCTTGTTTTAGATAGAAGGGCAAGTCAGCTTGAAGTAAATTAAGATCTCCTGCCTCGTGTGGAAGATACAGTATTTCAAGAATAACCAGTTTGTCTTTGTGCAAATCTTTGCACATAACTTGCCTTTAGAAAAATGACCATATTGGATAATAATGCGACCAACAACTTATGTCCATTCCCATCAACTGGATGTGTTCAAATGGTTAACAAAAACCATGATTCTTAAAATATGAAATTTAAAATGTTGGCAAAAAAGAAGGGTTGTCTACTTTTGTATAAATATTGAAAACACTGAAACATGAACATTGAAAAATGTCTTGAATTGAACTATCAGTAAAACAGGCCCTATGATAACTGTTGACAGTTTGTTTTGTTGACTTTAAATCTTAATCTTAATCCTTGACCACCAATAACTACACTCTATTTACCTCACTGTATTGGATAAATATGCTTAAAATACAAGCATAGCTTCATACCATTTAAGGCAAATCAGAATATGTATTTTTTTATTTAGGTAATATGTTCCTCTTACATAGAATATTTACATCTCATACCAATAAAGAAGTTTAAACAGCTAAAACAGGTTGCATTACCAGCAACATTTTGAAGTGATTTAATCGTCCAGATATCACTGGAGTGTTGTGAACTGTTTCCTATATTTCCTATGTCTTGTGCCAAGAGTGAAACTCCCTCCGTAAAAATTTGTTCCCCAAAAAGATTGATTTGCATAGATCTAATCCTGACAGAATGGGTGGGGTAAAATAATCCACATGATTCATCATTGGCATCACATAGCTGCACACAAAAGCATCCAGATTGATCCTGACACACATAAGCAAGATTATCTGTGAGCCAAATGTCCCGTATGAGATGATCCCATCACAACAGGAAGATGAAATCCAATCCAGACTGGTACAAAACACCAAACAGATCTCATGCAAGCGAGCCGCCCTGGAGTCAAGAGTTTGACAACATGGCCTCACTCAGTGGGGAAGACAGATCTGTGATCTATCCTGTCCGCTACACGTGCCTCTCAATGACTTTTGAGTTGTTGTTCTGTGTGCTTATTATTTAGTTGGCGCGTTTGAGCAACATTGGGAATATCAAATGAAATAATCAGCGTTTAGCAAAAGAGTCTACCTAGCATTAGAAAAGTTGTATGTATGGGATACCATAGTTTAAAAGGTGCGTTAGAGTGAAAAAAGCAAGTGTAATAAAAAATACAAACAATAGAAACATGAAAATGATGAAATGAATAAAACTACATACAGTCAAACGCAGTTATACATCTAATCCTTAAATCTTCAAGAAATAAAAATGTGTAGGAAGGTAAAATAGAAGGATCACAGGGGTGCTAGATAGACCATAAAAAGTGTGTTTTCTGAAGATAATTAAATAAAGAAATAGACTTAGCCATCCTTTAATCTGCTCTCTAAACTCTGGGGGAACTGATCGCAAAAGCTCAGTCCTCTTTACTTTTTAGTCTGGATTAAGGAACCACCAGGAGAGCTTGTGACGGCACATGGTGAGTTACATGGTCAAAAACAGCCTGGGGCCAAACGTTTCAAGGCTGTCAGAGTGAGAGGTAAAAAAATTGAAATAATCTCCTAAAACTAACAGCGGGTGTAAAGATGAAAGGATAGGTGCTCTGGTTTTCTGAAACCTGTTAAAATCCTGGAGGGTGCATTTTGGATTAATTGTAGAGATGAGAGAGACTCTTTGCTGCAGACGGAGAAGAGGGAGTTGCAAAAATCTGGTTCTGAAAAATTGGATCCCACATTTTCCACATGAAAGGAAGCATCTTTTTTTAGACTCTACCTGTTGGAGAAATGTCTGCATCTTTTCTTAACTATGGTTTGTAATGCAGGATTTCTGTTACAAATGTGTAGCCCAAACTAGGATTACAGAGGTGATATCACTTGAGTTATTTGCTCAGATTTGACAAAGTTTTGCTATAAAATTACATTAAAAATCTATTTCCCCTGTCTGACACTAAGCTTATATTTGTGAATAAACTGTTGTGATTGGCCTGAACTGAATTAGGTGTGAGGTAAATCTGTCTGAATGGGACAGGAAACTGACAAATCTGCCAGAACAAATAAACAGTATTTTACAGAAGGATCCTCTTATCCCCAAGGACATACTCCAAGTTCATGCAAACAGCTAACGACATCTCACTACAAACATACGTTGCTAGTATCAGATGTAGCTTACAATAAAAGACACCCATTCTTTTGATGATGCCCCATATTCATGTCAAATATCTGTGACCCATTATGAAATTCCTGTGGTTCATAAAAACCACAAATCTAAATCATAAACTTTTTACTTTAAAGAAAGATAACTTTAGGAATAATATTTACTCATGCTAGCCTGGGTCATATCATGTCTTCTTATAGGAACAGTGTGTGTAGAATGAAGTGGCTTTTTATGTTAAGGCAGTAGATTCACTTCGGCTCATCCTCGTCCTCCGATTATGTGGAAGAACCAAAAGTAACAAGTACATTCCCCAAAAGGTCCTCTTTGGAGCCAGTTTTTGTTTTGTCTGTTCTGGGCTACTAAATCTTACACACTGGTTCTTTAAAGCATACATCCCTCATTATAAAAACATCAGACTCCACCGGTTATCCAGTTTCATTGCTGTCCAGAGGTCCACTTGTTTTTTTTCTCTGGAGACGATGTGTGAAGTGGAAAAGGAGATGAAGTCCTTTGAAATGCCACAGGCTCAGTGAATTAGCCTTTTAAGACCTGACTGACTGAAAATTATGAGAGGCAAAGAGGAGGATGTGAACGAGCAGCATGCCGGGTGATACAAAGTAAAGGAGAGATGAGTGAGAAGATGCTTTGAAATTAATATCGCTCTGGCAGCTTTACGTTGGATTTGGTATGGTGTTCATGTGAACTAAATGTAGGATGGTTTGCATTAATAAAAGGGTAAATAAGGAGTAGGAAGCTGGTCTGGAGATGTAGGGTACTACTGTTTATGCACAAACATGCCAATCAACTACCATACATGGAATAAAATGTGGTTTAAAATATGGGTAAACTATGGAATGACAAACAGGCTGTTGACGTGGAGGCTGTATCCGACCAATCCACATCATTTTCAGACAACACATCTAAGGGTTTATCACCAAGATCAAAGCAGTGTGTCATCTGTAAAATGTCAAGCAAACATCCTTTAATGTTCACTCCAACCTACTGACAAGCCTCTCGGGATCTTGATCGTTATTTAGTTGATCCACCATCAAGGCGAGCTCGAGAGACGCATCTTAGCTTTGACTCTTTCCAACAAATTCCCCAAGGAACCCCAAAATGATTTAACATCATAAACAATCTTTATATTTTAAGCTTTCTTTTGAAGTGTTGATTGTGACGAGAAAAAAATTATAACTTCTGGTCAACAGGCCTGGATGCTGGATGCAGACCTCATGTTTCTATTTCAGGGATGAATAAACTACCATTGTCTATTTTTTAATTTTCGATTTGGCACGTTTTGTACAATCGGATTATCTTCTCCATGAAAAAAATCAGAGATTTCTTCCTTTTATTGGCATTATAAAGAATATGTTTCTGAATCAAAATGATGACTGTAGTTTCCTAGTATGAAACGTGAAGACACTACAGTAGTGCAATAAATGTGTATACTCTTTCATGGCCAGCAGCCACTGGTTGCAAAAATGAGAAAATATCCCTACTTCTCAATTGAGTATTTACCTTAGAACATTTCCCTATTTACAGGAGGTCATATTCTCTTTCTCTCTCTCTAAAGTCTGGCTCACACTGTGTGAGATTTTTTCCTGATTGTATAAAAGTCGGGGTGGCAGCTCATACTGTACGACTGAATCGTTTACGACGCCCGACCAGACCTTGAGATTGACGTGCTCACCCTGTACGACCCGATTGTCGGACACGATTGACGGCCGGAGAGCTCACACTGTAGAAGTGAAATCGGGACGGAGAGTTGACAATTGTTAATAAAGTTTCATTTGAATACTCCAATGGACGTCGGTTGGAAGTGCAACCTGTTGTAGGCTATAGAGAAGTAGATACAATCGTAGATATATGGATGCAAGTTTCAGAAAAGTGCTTCACTGATGATCTGTTCTGAAACCTAAAAAAACAAAAAACCCTGGGTTGCGTCCTGCCGCTGGTCGCCATGACTACATTCCTCCTTTGTCTCTCGTGATTATATTGTGGTCACACACAACTTCTGCCGGACCCTTTCATGACGTAATACTTAAGATTTTAAATTCTAAATATCAAACATGTTTGAAATAAATCGTTAAGATTGGATCTTTGTACCGCTCAGACTACAAGATAACCTGAGCAGAAAATCGTGTCCGAGCAGCCTTGAGTCGGGAGCGACCCTGCGATTGTCGGGAAAGAAGAATCGGAGCTCAAATCGGCCCGATTATCCTGCAGTGTGAGCGAGGCTTAACACACACTCTCCTTCTTGTTCCAAGTCCTCTTGAGAACATGATGATGTTCAATTAGCAAATTATGATCCAATTGAATGTAAAAAGATGTATTTGGGGGTTTGTTTAAGGGGAAGTCTAGGAACTACTTCTTTGATAAATATTTCCTATTTTTTTCTTAGCAGAGATTTAGGCTTGGGTTAGCCCTGAGAAGTATACATTAAAATATCAACAAGTAATAACAAATTAAAAATTTTAAGGCACCTCCAGTTTTTACTCGAGACCTTCTACATCGTAATTCAAGGAAATACAGCCTTACACAAAAAGCATGACATGCTAACAGGCTATCGTGATCAGAACTGATCCGGACGTTGACAACCTGCCCTCCTCAGTGATTTATGTGACCACAGAGCTCTGGAGACTTTGTGCCTGTTTGATTGGATGCAGAGGACTGTCTGGCTATAATAAATGACCCTGCTTGGTGTAGTCGGCAGTTTGGGAGCATTAGGAACTGAAATGCATTAGAGCTGATTAGACAGACCGAGCCCAAGTACCCTCTCCTGGTAATGAGAATGCTTTGTCACTCATTAACACTTCTACCATTCTGGCCTTGTAAGAAGGGAACACAAGGCAAGCATTTGCATTTTTTTTCTTGCCAGTAGAAGCGGTTTTCTTTTGATGAGGTGGAGAGAATGAAAGGCAGAATGAGAGAGCAAGTCAATTGCCAGCTACATTGGGACTGGTGATTGCGTGGACGATGTGTATGGAGAAGGGATTTGAGACATTTGATGAGAATACGCTCGATGCTGAATCCAGCCTATTTTACTGAAAACCATGTTGCTTTTTCCTCCTGCTACAATCTGCATGAATGCCATTAATGTATATGTGACTTAAGTATATATATATATATATATATATATATATATATATATATATATATATATATATATACACACACACACACACACACACACACACACACACACACACACACACACACACACACACACACACACACATACATATATGTATATATATATATATATATATATACATATATATATTATTACATGTAAAAAAATACATCACTTGCCTTGTTCAGGCTTTGTTTCTGGTGCAAATTTGATCGGGTGGGTTTCTGTTTATTGTTGGATTTTCAGGTTGTTAAATGTTTTACTCTTTCATATGAGTTTTATTTGAAATGTTTTGGTGACAGAAAAAAATCTCTGTAGCGAACATTCTGCTTCTAGAAAGATGTGGCTCTTGGTTTTATGTTATAATCAACATTGGATGTTCAACTAAATTGGGCTGCTGCCAGCCAATTAGCAAGATAATGATCCAAAGAAAAATGTTCCTCTGAACAGAGGAGACTTTCTCAGGCAGTCACTTGCAGTGCTTTGAAAAAGAGACAGTGCTGGCCTCATTAGCCACTTTTCACTAAATGGAAATGAATAAACTAAACAGTATTTTACATGAATTTGTTATTTTTGTGTGTGTGTGTGAGTTCCAATCCATTATTTATTTGTAATAATAAATACTTGCTTAAAACAGGTGAACCGTGGTGCCTGTAATGCACCTTTGTAGCTGCTAGAAGCTCAATCACAGCTGGAGGTAGCTGCTGTCTCCCTCGTCCTGCCTGGTGACCTTGTGATCAAAGGTGATAAACAATCGCCTTGTGAGGATAATTACTCTCAACTATCAGATCCTGAGGTACAAGGTAACAATCTCCACAAAGGTAACACAGTGTCTTTGGGACCTTGTCTTTGCTGCTAGTGAGTGTAAGAAAGCTGGAGTCAATCTCTTCTTCTTGACTGCACTGATTTAAGACTTTTAACTGTTCTAGAGTCCAGAAGAAGACCAAAATAGATTTAAAAGGGAATTTACAAAGAAAGTCAATGGCATGACCCAAATTCACAGAGGGTGATGGGGATTTATAAAGGAGTATATTTGGTGACCTACATGACAAAGAATGCATTTTTACTTTTCACAAATCTGTATCATGATGTTACTATTTTCTTTAGAGATTATTTTTGGGCTTCCGGCTTATTAGGACAGCACATCTGAAGACTGACAGGAAGGGAGAGGGAGCAGTGCTAGCATACCCCAAATAGCACCAGGATCAGGAGCTGAACCTGCGACCTGTGTGACAAGCACTATAGCCTCTGATCATGAAGTCCATTCCAGCAAACTTGTTACTCTATATGGGATTGACGTAAAGTTAAATTTGTCAGCTATGGCTTTTCAAGATCACTGGCCACACCATTATAATCTACGGGCCCAGGACCATTTATTTGAATTGGAAAACAACATGGAAGAATTCACTCTTAAAATGATAAAAAAGGAAACGATCTGATGCAAAAGTAATATACAGTATTTGATCATATATTCTTATTCGTTGAGTTCAGTTTAGTTACATATCTATCTGCATCATGCATGGAAAATATTTCTTTACTTTTGTTCTCAACAGTGTTCAGCACCTGATTAGCTTTTAATCTCAAGCGTAGAAATGGCAAACTAAATATGTAAAATAAAACTGGACCTACTGTTATTTTGATTTATTTCCATAAGAAAGTATCTGACCGAGCTGCTGAGTGAACCAGTGTGGTGTGTTATTCCAGTCATCTCTTGTAATTCCTTAGTGCCTACGTTTCAAACAACTTCTTCTATCTCCCGCCTTGAAAGTACTGAACAGTGAAGTCCTCTTGTGTAATTCAATTCACAGAAAAAAAGAATTCTCACTTTCAGGGATGAAAAACACTATAAATCCTTTCCCCCATGCACTTTTCTTCTCAGATGTCTTCTCTGGCACCACACACCAGCAAAAAAAAAAAAAAAAAGGATAATCAGAGCCGTGCATACCTGCATGTTCTCCTCACTCACTGTTTAACTCAGAAAAACAAAGACAAGCAGCCGCTGGGTGAAGTTCATCCACAGAGAAGTGATTCATGTGTATGAGCCTCTGTAACACTTCAGATGTGGCTGCAGTCATGTTTTACATATCACCCACAGCTTCCCTGCTGTGCAGCTGCAAAAAGGCTTTGAAGGTGTCGGATGAATTAAAAGGTTTCTTCAGAAAAATATAAATATATATACCTGAATTGATTTATCCCACCTTAGAAGAAGGAGCCGGAGAATTATATCAGACTTTTGGTTGTAGGTGTTGTTGAATAGGCAGCTCCTGACTGACAGAGTGTGGAATTCCTCACAACATGTTTGTATTTCTCCACTGGGTCTGACCTGATAAGACTGTTTACGTTCACCAGGACTGAATATAGAGATTAGCGCTGTTTTCTCTCGGAGAGGAAAGCCCTGAAGGAGTTCTGTTGTATTTTGAAAAGGCTTTATCAGAAGCATTTTAATCTACAAAAGAAACTGAAGAAACAAATACAAAAAACATTCATCTTCTGAAATGTATCAACTTTAAAGCACCTGATTTCTTCACTTTTCTTTACAAGTGCTTGTTCTTTGAGATTAGGAAACTTTCTTGATCGTTTTTAAAGTGCAAGCAAAAAAAAACAAAAAACAGCTCACCTCCGAGCCCTGTGATGACTGTGATGTTTGCGTCCTTTTCCTTTGATGCAGCCATTTCTGTCAGCAGTGTCCACCCGGGAGTCCACCGCTTTCCTCTCATCAGTTTGTAGTGGCTGGCAGGCTGTCGTCTCTGAGCTGAGTGGAAAGAGAAAAAAATAAAATTACTTAGTTTTTGCACTTCTCAGGAGAACTTTTCAGTGATTTTCTTTTGAGTTGTCCACACAGTTAACGCTTCCATCATACAATGGGGAGGAGGACTTAGCATGCTTGGTTAGCCATATTCCCTCTGGTCTGCTGAATATGTGTTTTATTCCCCTCCATTTCTCCCTCCGTAGCCATACTCAGGGAAAAATTGGAGGTCAGCCATTTACCATTCAAATCGAGGTGTCAATTGAAATGTAGTTATTTACATGCACCAGTTGCCCTGACATTTTGGTAAATGGTGTTTTCTATCTTTCTTGTGCTTTGCAGTTGCAGCGACATTTTTTTTTTTTACTAACCCAAAGCCTATTAAACTTTAATTTTTCAACATATATCAATATAGGCATTGGAGCAAAATTAAGGAATCTAATTTTCAGCCACATGTTTAATAATTCCAAAAAATGCAGCTTCAAGTCAGGTGCTTCCTAAGCCTACCTTCCAAAATATCCTCATCCGTAGTCAAATGTTCGGGCAGAACAAATGACTAAATAAACTGAACGATTAGACATGAGCACACAGTTCGATCCTTGCTTATTATCCTCTGTTTTAGTCATGGGAGATTTGAGCATAATTACACATTCTCCTCTTCTTCGAGTAGCTCCCGTCTGATAGTAATGAGAAGATAATCAGAGACAAAGATTAGGCCGTCAACGCCACCTCCTCCTCTCCCCTCAGCGACAAGCAGGCAGGAGCCGTCGCTTTCCATCTTCCTCACCTTCCTTTTTCCTCTGCTTCTCTGCATAAGAGGGAGCGGCCCCTGAGCAGGGAACTAATAATGTAAAATGGCATACTGGGTACTCCGACATGACTGAGTGTTTGAGAGGTGAGAGGGGAGATAAAGACAGCCAGCGCGAGGATGATTACTCTGATCAAGGAGGCTGGTGGAACAGAAACCTCTGACTGTCAAGGTGATGGGCCTAATTCTCTTCTAGGTTGTTAATAGATATGTAAATAAAAATCTCCTTTTATATTGTATGTCAGAGTGGTGTAAATTATAGTGTTAAAAACAAATTCACTTTAAAAAAAAAAAAATGTGTGGCATGGTTAGATATGTTTTTAAGCTTTTAGTTACTTTAAGCTGCCACCACATCACATTGATGCAAAAATTACAAAATCCATTTACCAAATTCCAGAATTGCTATCAAGAAGTCACATTTATGTTGTTCTCATGTCTTTGATTTATGGTTTAAAGTAAACCAGTGGTTCTCAACTGGTTCAGCCTCATGACCCATCACAAACTCCTTCATAAAAAATTACCACCCACATTTTAGTTTTTTTGCTACCAATTGGATTTACTCAATGAAACATTGCACAGTTTGGACCTTGGATGGTATGTGACATAACAAAGTAAAGGAACAAAACAATGTTAAATAAGCGCTTAATAGACTTTTGGAGAGAACCAATGTTTGTAACAAATACAGTCACATTTTTTTTATCAGTCCTGTTAAATGTCATTCCTTCTTCTTTTGGGTTTATATCTTTGTGAAACCCTTTGAAACCGCCTGCTGATTGAAGTATGCTGTATATATCATTGCCAGCATCAGGCTAATATAGACTCCAAGTTAAATACCAGTGAGGTTTTTCTGTTTTCTTGACTACTCTTGGGAATATAAATTGGTAGCACAAATAACAGAAAACTAACTTCAGTATAAGTGATGTTGAACAGAACCCCAAACAATAAAGCCTCCAAAATAATCCTGCAGTTGAATCAAATCTTCACTTCATATTTTTTTGACAAATGCTGATCATTGAAGCCTTCATGAAAGGAGGGTGTGATGATCTTTGTGAAGCATATCTTCCTCAAATGGGCTACCTGTTAAGGCAAAATACTAAGCAATAAATTAAAACACCTGAAATAATGCATCCTTGTGGTTGTTAAGACTGTGAAGCCATTTACCACTCCCATGTTTAATTCTGTACATCATCCAATCATTTATCAACAGTTTCCCAGTTTGAGATTAATAAAGTCCATCCGTCCATCTACCCATGTATCATATGCTACAAATAATCTACTGTATCTGTAGACCTGAGACTATCTGACAGTAGAGGTTTCAGGAACCAAAAAATAGTGTTGGATGCAAAACTGTTATCCTGTTCAGTGTGTCATAGAGGAATACCAAACATTTGGGACATCTAATCAATCCAAACCCCTACAATCCAAGCAGAACTTTGTTCTTTTGTTACCCAACTATTCTCAGTCCGAGGTTATTCAATATTGAAGCTTCATCAAACCCAATTTAAGGACAAAACTTTCACTTCATGTACATTGTGTTTTATAGTAAAACTCAACACTTAATTTTACAATAAAGCTTCACCATGATAATACCCTAAAACAAACCAAGTGCTTTTAGTGCCAAAACCTGGCATTGGCATTTGAGGATTTAGAAATTGGAATGGGTTGTAGGTGCACTGAGTGCTCTTGCCTTCACTAACCTAATCAAAAGGGATGAAGGAAATAGATTGCTGGTGCTATTAAAGAACCAAGATCATCCCTGGAACCTCTCTCACTTGTGTAAATTGTGTATATTGGTTGATGTCAGCATACGTCTCCCATGTCTTACTGCAACAGTTTAAGAGTCTGTGATTATCTTGTTTGTAAGAGTGACCAACCCCAGACATGTAATCTCTCGTCTAGATTATTCCCAGCAAATTCTAGGAAATCCATCATAGAAATTCTCTATACCTCCAATCTACATACATCAACAGTAAGTGCTACACCTATTGTGGCTTATAGTTATTCACTGTCCTCCACAGCCCATGCCTTCTCTCCTATTAGCATTTAGATTTATATGTTTCAATTCAATGTTTCTTTCAACATAGGCCATGTTCATTTGACAAAAATCTGTAGCGACTTCTGTAAGACTTCTGTGCTATCTGACATTGTCAACCTTTAGGAAAAATAGAAAGCAAATCCATTGTCAACTCGTAAAATACCATAAAGGAGTCCTTGGTTGGAAGTAGCAGTATTTGGATCTGAAAAATAAAAGCTATTTATCTGCTACAGAAGAACAAAAAATGTCTGAAACATCCAGGATGTTGAACGCTCTGATGTGTGTCCCTGAGTTAAGCCTGAGTGGAAAGTGGTCCAAAGCACCCCCCCGCCCCCCCTCTGCCCCCCCGCCCCCTCTCTGCCTCTTTGTTATTTTCTGTCACTCTCAGAGCTGCGTTTGATGACTTCTAAATTAAATCGATTTGCCATCATTGATGCACATTCCCATGATCTGGCCCTGCAATTTATGTCTCCAACTTTCCAAGCCATAAGCACCCAGATTTATAGTGTGCTGTTTGTATCTGTCAAATGATACCCCTGCTCCTTCCTTCTCTCTCTCTCTCTCTCTCTCTCTCTCTCTCTCTCTCTCTCTCTCAAACACATATATATATTTACTCTCTCTCAATCCATAATCCCTTTTTATTCCAGTTTGTAACCAGGAAATGACTGAAGGTATTTAAAGGGACAATTCAAAGCACCAAACGAGGGTAAAAAAAAAAAAAAAAAGAATGCAAATACTCTGTGGATTAAGTTGAGGACTTCATGATGGAGAATTACATTGACATTAATCCTCCAAAATCCTGACTGGATTTGTTTACTGTAAAGCAGGTAAAATGGAGTCATGGGCCAGGATCAGCTCCATGGCAATCCCAGCTGAAATATGCCATGCCAAAGAGGAGCTGCTCATTGAAACCATTGTCTGAGTGCAAAAAAAAAAAAACCTTGCAGCTTGAGGCCCCACTTTATAACTTTTTAACCTCTATCTCTCTCATGTGTCGCACACTGCATGTTTGCCTTCCTTTGTGACAAGTATTCCTGTCATCAGAGGAGTGACCGTGCTGTGACTGGCTCATGTTCAGTTCTTTGTCACAGAGGGAGCGTCTCACTCCTCTAGACTCTGTCATACACCGCTGCTGTTCCCCATCACGTGGTTGGGTAACAGATACAGACAGATGGTGCAAGAAAAAAACACACTGCAGAATGGAACACTGCACTTTTTCTTCTTAAAAGCTCATATGTACTGTATGATCTTCCTAGGTTCCTCTGGATCGTTGGTGAAGATGGCTTGCTGTCATGGACCCCCACCCCCCCAACTCCAACTGCTATAACTATTTATATCAGCCTTACATCTGTTATCATAATTATTACAATTAAAGTGAATCTTAGAGCTGCTCAACTTCAACCTCTATAATTATCATAATCAGTCCTCCCTGTTTCAACATCTTTGTTAATATTAGTCTGACCAGTCTTTTATCATACTTAGCTGTTACTGCTAGTACACATACTTTTACCATTATTACTGACATGTAGCTATAAATCTATCTTATTCATTGTTGTTGTTGCTCTGTTTGCCTCTATCCTTCTCCCTCTTCCTGCATCTCCCTCTATCACACTTTAAAATCCCAACACAGTTTATTCAACACGAGTCTGGTTTTGTTTAAAGGTATAATATGTAGAATGTGGTTGCTAATGTTTACATCAAAATATGTAGATTAACTATAAATTGACTACACCTGTTATATGTATTTTCTTGTTGAGTACTTGCATTATCTCAAATATTTCCAAAAGTTATCAAAGCCAGAGAAATCCATCATTTTATAGTTGTAACGGTCCGTGTCTTGTTGGCGACCGCCACGATGAGCCGCCATGGCAGACACGAAATGTTGATCGTCATGGCAGCTGAAAGTTGCCGTACTGTTGCCGTATGTGCTTCTTTGATAAAAACGTCATGTAAACGATGTCAAATAATTTCTTTGTACAATTGTATAATGACAATAAAGACATTCTATTCTAAATTAAACTCAGATACATAGAACATATTGTCTTTCTCAGGTAGGTATCGCCCGTTCACATTGACTACGGTCAAGACGGAGTTCGTTTTCAGGAGAGGGGAGTAACAGAGAGAATCACTCCCATGATACCTCGCCAGCCTCGACGTCTTCTT